TTTCTGAGCTCCTCTTTTGAAAACTGAGTACCTGAAACCAAAACTGAAACTGTAAGCACGAAGCTTAGTGAGTCTCCCCAACTACCACATACCATACAATAACATATAAGGCACATACTGGGCCTCGTCCACTGCATCGGACCGAAGTCCGGAAATTGCATCGGACAGAAGTCCGGAACTAACCAGGGCCTTGCCCTCTGCATCGGACTGAAGTCCGGAAACTGCATCGGGCCGAAGTCCGGAACTAACCAGGGCCTTGCCCTCTGCATCGGACCGAAGTCCGAAAACTGCATCGGACCGAAGTCCGGAACTAACCAGGGCCTTGCCCTCTGCATCGGACCGAAGTTCGGAACTGACTGAACATAGCATAGCATAAACATAATTACTAGCATAAACACAGATACTGAATACTGCATCGGACCGAAGTCCAGAACACATAACACAAAGACATACTTGAATCACAAAAACATCAAGCACACTGAACTATTGCATCAGACCGAAGTCCGGAACTGACTGAACATAGCATAACATGATCATGACATATAATATGAACACATATACTGCATACTGCATCGGACCATAGTCCGGAACACATAACACATACCATGCATGTATCACAAAGACACCAAGCATACTGAACTACTGCATCGGACTAAAGTCTGTAACTACTGCTAACTTAAACGGGCCGGCATTGTGGCCGTAGACTCGTTCCTACTGGAAGGAAACTCACCTCACACTGCTGAAGTCCTGTAGACACCATCCCACACTGTTGAAGTCCCGCAGACTCAACCCCGGCTGTTGGATGACAGATTCCCGAACTGTCAACACCAAAATAAAACCCAATTAATAATTGGGTTCCACTACATAACTATAAATACATACTTTGGATAATTACTACATTACCCCTAGCTTGGCTTACCCAAGCCCAAGGCCCAATCCATAGGCCCAAAGTCAACTAGGGATCAAAGCCCAACATATGTCCTAACTTTCCAAATTGGGCCCAAACCTCTACATGGACTTCCCTTAAGGCCCAATTGTTCAGTCGAGTCCAACATGTCTCATTCTAAGGGCCCAATATCATACAACCATCTAGGCCCAAACTATGGCCTATCTATGGCCCAATTTTCCAAATTGGGCCCAATCCTTCATATGGGCCTTACCCTAAAGCCCAACTAATTACTCTAGTCCATTTGATTATTCTTGGATGGCCCAACACAAAGCCCAAGTGAAATTAGGGTTTCACATAAAATGATGATTAGGGTTAAGTGTTTCTTACTTAACTCATTAAGGACTTAATCCATTAAGTCCTTTACTCTACTAGATCAATGATATGGAGAAATTGAGCTTAATACACAATCCAATCTCAAAAGCCCAAAAGTGGGTCCAATAAGTCTAAGGCCCAATTACTCACAATTAGGGTTTTCTAAACCCTAATTAGGTAGGGTTCCTCACCCAAACGTGGCCCAATAGGCCCAAAATAAATCTTTAATCCCATTAGGGTCTTGCTAGGTCCATTAGGGTTTTGCTTGAGGGGCACCACCCACTACCACCCCGGGTAGTGGTGGTCAATGGCGGCTCACGGCGGCGGCCACCACCTTACGGTGGTGGTTACTATTATTATTTTCATTATTTCATGATAATTACAATTACAAGGGCTTTTATTCAAAATACACACACTGACTAATACACACACACATACAGCCACACCATGGTGGCCGGCGGTGGCTCGTGGTGGCGGTGGCTCTTCTGTGGACTCCGGCTACCCAAAAGCCCCAACAAACATACAACTAATAAAATACAACCATACATACAATCTCTTAACTGCCGGAACAGTAACAACACATGAATACACACACAAAACTACACCCACAGCCACCTTGAGGCGGCCGTCGACGGTAGAGAGTGGCAGAAAACGATTTTAGGGCTGCAACCACCATGGTCGGCCGCCATGGTGGGTTTTTCTCTCGATCTCAGGCTAGGATATCTCGCACACACAACAACATAATCAACAACAGCATCGCAAGCTAATTTGAACGAACCACCCACCTGGTGGCGTGAGTAGATGGAGGTCGACAATGGCAAGGAACAGCCGCGGAGGCGGCGGTGGCGTGAGATGGCGGCAGCAACTTATCTTCTTCAACAGTCTCCGTTAACGAGGGTGGCGACTAGGGTTAGCGGTCTCGGCTGGCGAACGGCAGCAGCAGCAACGGACAAAGGTGGCCGTCGAACTAAAGAGTGGATGCCGGTGGTCCCTATCGTCGTCGGTCTCCGGCAGCAGCGGTTCACGGCTACGGAGTCCCGCAGTCACGGTGGCGGTGACGCTTCGATGGCGACTCGTCTGATCGGAAACAATGAAGAAAAGAGGAGGCGGATGGAGGTGTCCTTGGGAGGGTGACGGCTGATGAGTTTATGTTAGGGTTAGGGTTTGGACTAAGAAGCCATCGGCTCTATATACCCCAATCATTTAACAACTTTTCCATAATTACAATCCTGGTCCCTCCCCATGGGATCTTTTCAAATTAGATCCAATATTTATCCTTTTTGCCCCTGATTCCATAATCCCTTTCATAATAAGTCCTGATAATTACCAAACATACCCCCGCTTCTCATATTCTTCTCAAATCAACTCCGTAATTTACTAAACAACCCCCACTATCAAAATTCTTCACAAATTAGTCCGGGAATTATATTTATTAATTTATTTAAATAAATGGGGCGTTACACTAATTTTTGACAACAATAAAATCAGTCTGCCTCTCTTTCTCTCTCTTCTTAGAGATGATGGTGGCGCCTTTAACCTACATTTTTTTTATAATTTTCCGTCTACAAACGAAGAGGCTTTATTAGGGTCTTGAAACTGTAAATGATGAAATCAAATCCATTTTTGAGATATAGATATTGTGTTTTAGGTTTAGGACAGAATTGAAGTCGTTAACTGGAAACCATGGGCCCTGGTATGATCTGAGTATGTCATATTTCTGAGGATTTTGGGGGTTTCTTTAACATTTACATGGATTGTGTCTTTCTATAACTACTTCAAAATCTATCTATTTTTATTTCTTGGGGTTATTGGTATTTTTTAGTACCCAAGATGGAATATCAGCAAGCCATCCTTAGCATGCTCACTTGCTGGGAGGTTGGTTTTTTATTGATATTTGCTAGTGTGTATTGAGTGTTAATTGTAGGTTAATATATATTCTTTTTCAAAAAAGATGGATGATGGACCTGAAGATTTTTTTTGGAGAAAATCCATTGTACTAAAGGTATCTTCCTTACATATTAGTTGGTTTCTGCCATGATTAGTTGGTTTCTGCCATGATTCCATGCATATCAATATGTATTTATTTATTTTTATCATTTATAATTAATACACAATTCTTTATAAATATATGAAAATGGTGTTTCCTATTTCAGGTATTGATGCAGGTAATTTGAGGTATTGATGCAAGTAATTTGAGAGATCGTCAATAACATACTTAAATATGCTTTATTAATATCTTAAAGAGGAACAATTTTAGTTGCATCATTCATTCATCATATAAACCAAGCGAATTTGAATTTGTGAACATAGACAGTTGATGCTTGCATTATTCATTCATATATAGCTTTAATTTTTCTTACCAGTTGCTTTTTTTGCCAACAGATTAAGAGCCATTTTTTGGCAGTTCTTTCTTTTTGCTTGATCTTGGTGGTCATAACTGTGAAAGTGATTAACATAATAATCATGTTAGTGATTATAGTTTTATTTTTGTGGATTATACGTATGAAGTACTCTTTGGATTGCATGTAATGTTTGAACTATTCCGAGTACATTTCTATGTACGATTCTATTCCGTGCAATTTTTCCGGTAATTTACAAATTGAAATGTCATTAATGTTTGTTAAGTAGAAAGTACATTGTTATTTTTGCATTTAGCTTCTTTTTCGATCAAATGCAAAAAGAGCAATGTACTTTTCATGAACTTGTGCGTAAAAATGTTAAGTATGTTGATTTTATTTATAAAATAAGTTAAAAATGTTATTCCTGCAATTTACCCTATGTTTTTGTTAATCTTATATCCTGTAATTTCATATATAAGGATCTATTTTTGTATTCTTATTCAAGTTTCAACTCGTACATTAGGGGCCATTTCCATGGAATGTTGTTTTTTAATTATCTATATGGTTGTTAATTGTTAAAACAAAAAAAGTAATGTCAGTTATAACAATGTACTTTTTCAGTACAATGTTATTATGTAATTGGGTTAGTTTGCTTTCTTGCGCGTAGAAAGTATGGGTTTGTGTTGTCTGTGTTTGAGAGATACAGAGTGTGTGTATGTGTGTTATTGGTCTATGTCTAAAGGTTATGACAATAAATAAAAATAACTTTTTTCCTTTTTATTTGCATTTATGAAAATCTTACACAATACAAACATAAAGAGTTGCAAGAACGTTATCATAACTTAGATTTGTAATTTATGATAATTTGATACATGGCAAAATGCGATGAATAACAACACACATTTAGTAAATCTTAGTAGTTTTTTTATCCTACATGTGTCAAAGATTAGAGGTAATGTTATCTTTGGGCCTTTTTTTCATAGGTATTTTAGAAACCATGGGTATTTTAAAAAATCAGATTTTTAAATTTTAACCTAAACGTAAAAAGTGAGATTTTTTAACTTCATCACAGTTTTGTTTAATACAAAAAAAAAAAGAGAATATTGTTAAGTATTAACCTAAATGAAAACATCTAACTTTCTAAATTAATAATTGTTTGCAAATCTTTGATTAATGATTAAGGTTTTCAAGTAACAATATTGTTTATTTCATGAACTATGACCTATGAAAAATGATGGCTCTTGGTTATGCTTCAATGTTCTAAATTTTATTAACAATATTCTTTTTTTGTGTATAATGATTACAAACATACCATCCGTGGTTTCTACGGGTTATAACCTAATAAGATATATAACATGTAAACCTCTTATTGTATGACATATTAATAAAATCTAAACATTCTCTATTAATATAAAATACGTAAATAGATGGATGACTAAATTGAAGAGGTTATATCGGCCGTTATAATACGTAGCCATATATATACTTGCATCTTACTAGTTTATCAAATCACAAATAGCCCTAATATTATCTACTATTCAACACATCTTTTGCTGATGTCCCTTGAACATTTTCAGAAAACGCAAGCACGCTATCCCTCAAACCATCCACAATCGCTTGACGCTGTCTAGCAATTCCAAGTCCAGATAAGTATTTGGATTCTGCTTCTCCTTCGGCTCGTTTGATTTGAAGAATCTTTTCAGCCTCTGCTTTTTCATTTGCAGCAACTCTCATTCTAGCAGCTATTGTTATATATATAATGATAATCGGTGTTATTATCTTATAAAGAATCTTGTTACCAATATCACTATATATCACTATATATACCTGCATTGATTTCATTCATGGATTTCTTCACATGTTGATCTGGTTCTATATCAACAATCAAAGTTTGTACAATCTTAAGACCATAACCTGACATTGCCTGAAAAAATACAAAATTAAAGTCAAGAAGCATCATTCATGCATCTGTATGCCCACGTTTACAAGTTACAACAACATATAAAAAAAGTAATAGATAAGTTTGTTTTGAAGGAACTACAAACAAATTAAAGGAAAACAAGTATCACCTTTTGAAGCTCATCTTCAACGCCTTTGGCTATATCATTCTTTTGCAGAAAAACGTCATCCAGTTGGAGCTTCGGTACACTTGCCCTAATTACTACTCAAAACCAATACAAAATAAAACAAAAACCATTCAAAAATATAACCATTTTGATTCGACATCTTGATCTTACCATCGAAGACATAAGCTTGAACTTGTAACTTGGTGTTTGAGAGCTTATAGAAAGCATCAACAGCCTTATCAGACAATGCACGATACTGTACAGACGCAACCATAGTAACAAACACATTGTCCTGAAATCATAAATAATATAAGTGTAAAAAACAATTAGTCTAGATTTGATTTTATAAAGAAATGAAAATAAAAATAAAAATAGAACCTTTGTTTTTGTCTCACAACGAATATCAAGCTGCTGCACACGCAACGACAGTTTACCAGCCACCATGTAGCCGAAGCACCAAGGCATACAGTGAAAACCAGGTTGAAGTACTCTATCAAACTTGCCAAAATGTTCTTTCACAGCAACGTTAGACTGCTCTACTTTAATGCATCCAAAACATAGACCCATGTTTTAAATCTGATTAAATATTATATTTACATCAGTTTATAACTTACACAATCAAAATACAAAAAGAAAATTTTATAAATTATAATGAAATAAAAGCTAAATTAAACTTACCTGTTAAGTAGGCACGTCAAAATGTTTGAAGTAAAATATGTAGATGGTGGGGAAATATATAGATGATCCATATCATCAAATTGAAAAAAGAGGCATGCATGTTCATACAGCTGCCATGCATGTGATCATCTGAATTTTTCGTTCAAACAACACATGTGATCCCAATCTTGCGTTTCATATAGGGTTTTGCTAAATTTAGTAGTCTATGTAAACCTACTATTCTATTTGTCTAACAGTTAATCTTTAGAGATATATATTCACAAAGATGACCATTATCATAAAGACTAATCCAAAATTACAAGCTATTTATCGATATGCAAATATAATCAACCTTCGAGTCCGAAAATTAAAACATTTTTGTGGTAAGAATTTTTTAAGACTAATTTCACAGCAAAATGAAACTTTATCTTGTTAAAATGATTTCTTAAGTTAATTGAGAGACTTTTGACAATATATAAAATACCGTGTAAGAAAAAATTTATAGGTTGACCTGTAAAATTTTCATTTGACTTATGAAAATGGCCAAAACGACATTGTTATGAATTTAAAAAAAAAAAAAAAAAAAGTCACTGCAGGTTGACATAAGAAATTATCTTTCACTATGTACCGGGAAATTGCTTATATAATTTTACAAAATATGATTTTTGGTCAAAAAACAGTTTTTTGAAGTACTTTAATTAATTGTCGTAGAAATTTCCAAAGACAATTTTCACAGCAAAAACGAACTTTATATTTTTAAATCGAAACTTTGGGTTGAAAAATATTTTACAAAGAAATATTATAACAAGATTAACTAGACATGTTATTCTCTCTAAAAAATAATTGGGTAGTGCTACTTTATATTAAGACCATCCAGGGTAGAGATATATCAAAGAAAAGGACTTGAATTAGTTGAGTAGCTAGAGATCTGATGCCATCTGACATTTTAAGAAAAAAAAAGTGGGGGGGGGGGGGGGGGGGGGGGGGGGAAACTTCTAAACATGGCAAAAGTTTATCGTAGGCATTTAAGAGAGAGCTTCCACGAAGCTGCTGCACGAAAAAAACGCCCATCTCCAAGTCACCGCTGCATATGTGTTGAATTCCAGCAATAATTAGTAAGGGTGTGCATGGGTCGGTTTGGGTTGGTTTTGGACCCAAACCCAACCCAACCCATAAATGATCGGTTTCTGGTTTTCAGAACCCAATAGGATCGGTTTCTGATCAGTTCGGTTTCTCGGGTTCTGAGGTCGGTTTGGGCGGTTTTTCGGTTTCTTGGGTTCAACCCATACATTCACGGGTTCTGGGTTTAAACCCATGGGTTTTGGGTTTTAACCCATTTTTCATAATTGAAGCAACAGGTTAAATACTTCAAAAAAACACCAAATTTAAGTTCAATACTTCAAAAAACATGAGTCGTACAACAAATAATCTATTACAAGTCACAACCAAAGCCCGAAATAGTCTATTACAACCAAAATACAATCAAGTATGGGTCGGTTTCTCGGGTTGGATGGGTCGGTTTCTTGGGACGGTTTGTCGGTTTTAAGTATGGGTCAGTTTCTCGGGTTGGATGGGTCGGTTTCTGGGTAAAAACCGAAACCGAACCCGATTTTTCGGTTTTTAAAAAATTCAAACCCTAACCGTCGGTTTTGCTTCGGTTTCGATTTTTTCGGTTTCGGTTTCGTCGGTTTTAGTCGGTTTCTCGGTTTCTTGGTTTGGGTTTGCTCACCCCTAATAATTAGTCCAATGTCCCTGTAATCCATTACCATTTTTTGAATGCTATAGATGGTAGTTATTTTTACCGCACTAACCATTTGAGTCAAAATCGAAATTCCAAACAATTTGTTCAAGGTTCAAACTTAATTATATGCTCAAAATAATCTTCTTGTCCGAGTTCATACACAATAGTTTCTTTTCTGTACATAATAATATGTTTTAAAGAATTTTACAGTTTAATATTTTAAAAATGTAAATTGTTATATAAAAAAATGTTATGTATGAAATTTAAATTTAAAAGATGTATATACTTCACTCGTACACAAAATTATTTTGAATTTTAGTGTTAAAGATTGAAATTAACCTCGATATGCATGCCGAAATTGTCTTTATTTTATGATATTATATTTTTTTCATTAATTTTTTGGGATATATATACTAAAGTTCTAATATTTTCATCAATTTGACAAAAAAGTACTAAATTTTTTTTTTACAGTAAAGTCCTAACTACCGGTAATTTTTGACACGTTTTATAACGCCCCGACTCTCAGGTATTAAGTTTCAGCTTTACTCTTTCATATTAAAAAGTCTACTCGACGAGTTGTAGGCCCTGACTCGTCGAGTAGGAACGCGTTTGGACCGCAAACTTAAGTGACCAACTCGCCGAGTCGGAGGACACGACTCGACAAGTTGGAGCTGGAGGATGAAACATTAATTTTCGGGGTTTTGCACCCTATTTAAAGGGTCATTAGCCTCCCATATAGCCCCTTGTGAGTCCAAAAACCCTAAATCGTCGTTTTCTCTCCATACTTGTGTGTTTTAAGCATTGGAAGGTGGATCTTGATGAGAGGAACTTGAAGATCAAGAAGTTTGAGGCAAGGAACGTGTGTGGATCTGAAGTCTACCCCAGTTTAGCATCATTTGAAGGTATCAAGTCGTTACCGTGATCTTCTTCTAGCTAGATCCTTCTATATTTGAGTTTTGGGGCCATTTTGGCATATTGGTGCTTCATTTCGAGTGATGAACCAAAATCTGAAGTTGAAACTTCAGATCTAGGCTCATCTTGGCCCTTACAATCATAAAGTCTCAGTCTTTAGCATGCTAGTGTAATTCCCTTGCCTAGAATCTCTTCTTTAGCTTGATTTAAGTCATTAGCACATTGCATGTACGTAAAGTTTGCAACTTTACGTAAGAAGTTTGCCTTAGGAGCTTAGATCTACGTTATGGAGCTTTGGAATGGCTTAAAAAGCATCTGGATGGAGAAAAGACTGAAGGGGCTCGACGAGTTGCATGGTCAACTCGGCGAGTCCGATGAAGATTGTCGTGCAAGGGTTTCTGCATGGACTCGGCGAGTCAGCTAAAGTTTTCCCGACTTTTGTACATGCATGAACTCGGCGAGTTGCAGGGAAACTCGACGAGTCGATGGGGGATTTCACGACTTCTCGAGTTCAGGAAGGACTCGACGAGTCAGTGAACTGCACTCGACGAGTCGGTTCAACATAGACTATTGACATTGACCATTGACTTGGACTTTGACCAAGGGTTCACTAGTTGACTTCTGGGGTATTTTGGTAAATTGGAAATTTATGAATATGGTTCTATGGTAAATATAGGCGGTGGAGTACGTGGCGGTGATTTGAGAGTTTGAGCTTATCACTTCAGTTCGACAGTTGTGAGGTGAGTTTTCCTCACTATACTCAAGGGTCTAAGGTACCAAGGTCGGCCCTTTTGGATTGTCATCCTGATATGTTATATGTTGAGTATTGTATGATATGTTAGATCAGTATCCTTGTAGATAGGATTGTATATGTTGTTATGATCCGTTAGATCAGTATCCTAGTAGATAGGATGTTATATGCGGTTATGATCTGTTAGATCGGTTTGTTGGTCTATAGATTGTTATGTGGTTATATGTTATATGTGCACATGTTTGATTAGTGGTTGAGGCTTCTCTACTTTGTGCTAAAGCCAATAGAGCTGGGCATTCCAACCTGATGGTTGTGGGTCGTGAGTACTCCATCCCGAAGATGATTGGACTCGTAGTATGTGGGCATTCCAACATGTTGGTTGTGGGCCTGGGGTATTCCATCCCGAGAATGATTGGACCCATAGTATGTTGGCATTCCAACTGTATGGTTGAGGGCCTGGGGTATTCCAACCCGATGGTTGACTGGACTCATAGTATGTTGTTTGTGATTATATGAGTATTGTTGTGTATATGGGTATTTTGGTGGAACTCACTAAGCTTTGGGCTTACAGTTTCAATTTTGGTTTCAGGTACATCAGGTGATCGTGGGAAGGCAAATGCGTGATCGTACAGCTCCTCATGTTTATGGCTTGTTTCTGGGATACTCTGATATTATACTATTTTGAAAACAAGTTTTGTAATAATTAATGGTTTTGAAATGTTTTGAAAAAGTTTAAATTTGACATGATTTTTTATGGGTGTTACACGTTTACCCTTTTTTCCGGTTAGCCGGTAATTAGGACTTTATTGTCAAAAAAAATAAAGTTTATGACTTTTTTGTCAAATCGTGAATTAGGATTTTACTGTAAAAAAATAAAGCTTAGGACTTCCTTGTCAAATCGTTGAAAATATTAGGACTTTAATGTATATATCCCTTTTTCTTGTTAGAAATTCAATGGTATGATAATCTTTAAGCATAAGAGTTAAACATGATTTGGTTACCTAGATCCTATTGAAATCCTTAATGTTTGCTTCTTGTTAAATAGTTTTTTTATCTCAACAAACCAACATTGAAAAAAGTGGAGATAAACAACAAAGAAAGAAAAAACTAAGATTGTGTTGGCTTTTTGCGATCCTAAAAATAGAGAACTAAGAAATCAGAGAAAACGAAATTGTCATTTTTACCCCCTTCTTCGCTTTCACACCCTTTTAACTAGGCGTGTATTGTTTGTGTTTGTACAATCTGTCTCATCTTTTCAGTTCAAGATTTAGCGGCAAACCAAGAAGAAAGCTTTACAAGTCTTCTCACTCTCTCTCGCTCTCTCTTTTACATTTGTTTCCCTAATCGTGATTGTATCAGGGTAAAGATGATGATGATAAGAAAAACAGTGGTGCTGCGACGAAAATCACAATTAAAAGTTATTGGGCTACGAAAATTCACTAACGTACCAATATTTTCAGCGATTTGACAAAAAAGTTCTAAACTTTATTTTGACAGTAAAGTCCTAATTCACGATTTGACAAGAAAGTCTTAAACTTTATTTTTTTGACAGTAAAATCCTAATTGTCGGCTAACCGGAAAAAAACGGTAAACATGTCAAAAATTGTCGGTAGTTAGGATTTTACTGTCAAAAAAATAAAATATATGACTTTCTTGTCAAATCGATGAAAATATTGGGAC